GCCACTTGGTATTTGTGCCGTTGCTCTACCAAGCAAAAGATCGTTTGGGCAAAGATATGCACCGTCATCAGGTGACGCAGGGTGCCTTCCTATTGGTCTTTCATTCAGCAAGTTGGCGACCTCGTAAAGTACTGTTTGTAACTCTGAGAATGTTAAGGTACTATCGCCAATAGAAGCGTTAATAGCTCGCTTTACAGATCTTATGAGAGCTTAGTAGTATAGGGCGTCTCCATAGGGAGCAAAGGGATGCCGCCATCAATTAACATAAATAACAAAGGATTCAAGATGGCCTCTAAGTCCCATAGGGAGGATTCAAGATGGCGTCTAAGTCCCTTAGGGAGGATTCAAGATGGCGGCGGAGACGTCATCAGAAAATGACATCATTCAAGATGGCGGTGTAATATATTCATAATATGAGGGTGTAGGTGGGGTAAAAATTGGTTCACGGCCTCCTTTAGGGAAATGTAACGTGTACTTGTATGTTCATGTTACACATATGACATCATGATGAGATATATATGTATGTCAAGACCTCACTTCCCATCCATGTGGGAGATGTTACAACACGTTACGCATGCGCAGTGTGAGATGTCTGTCAGAGACTTTACGCATGCGCAGTGTAAGATTTTGTCTGAAAAAGATGGCTGTTCGGGGCTGCCTGAAGCTGCCCAAGGCTGCCCTTACCTCTAGGGGATTACATGAAGGCTGCCCAAGGCTGCCCTAACCTCGAGGGGATTAAATGAAGGCTGTCCGAGGCTGCCTTAATCTCTAGAGAACTAAAATGAATTCACAAGATGCGATGTATGTCAGAGTGACCGTGTTGAATGCACATGTCTAAAAGGGGCAAGAAGACACGAAGCCGTCGCGTGTTAAAAGTGCGTCGCCTTAAGCGCAAGATTCGTCAGCAAGCATCGAAACATGCACAAGATGTGGAAAGGTATCAGAGAGAAATTCAGGAGTTGAAATTACGGGAGAGACATCATGACATTATATTTCACGATGCCTTGCGATACATTTACCACCCCTATGGAAATGAACGATGTATTTACTATACTAACTGGGATAAAGAAATAGCAGACGGCTTTTTTTTCTGCATTTCATGAGTTAGATTATAGATAAGACAACCCACATGTAAAATCTAATGCAAAGTTTATTATTATACAAATGAAGTACGATAAAAATGAAAAATGTTATCACTGTTTCTGTTGGGAATGGTAGCTAACCATGTACAATTCTCTAGATGTGGTGGTACCTCTTGAAAGGGTACAAAATTGAAACAGATAATGTTCATGACATTATAAACGTAATTAACATTCATAAAAAGTCAAATTGGTTTAAAAGGACCAAAATTTCATCCTCGGGATCTTGATTATCTAAAAAGGTACATAGCGTAAATAGAAAGTTGTAGTAATCCATAAAGGGATACTCATTCTGAAAAAGTTGAAAAAATTTAGCGTTACAAAAAGGATGATTGAGGAATACAATCAAGAAAAAAAAATGTATGACATTATGAGTATCTCTGTGGTAATTGGTAGTTAACCATATATAATCGTCTAATATAGGTGGCGCTACATCTTCATCATACTCGACGAAACCAAAACTTATTAAGGGTATAATATTATAAATATGGGTGACAATCATAAAAAACCTAAACTGATTAAAAAGGACACAAATTTCATCTTGGATATCATGCCACCATAATAATGAGTTTAATGTTTCAAAAAAATCCACAATGTCTTCCAATGGAAATTCAGTCTAAAAATAAATTGTATAAAAATTAATTTAATGGTTCAATTTAAGAAAGGGAAACACCATATAAATGTATGGGAAAAACTGGCCAAAAAAGTAAGTTTGAAGGTGGTAGCTATAAAACAGAAAATAAACCAACTTGCATGAATAAATTGCTATGACAGTACACTCGGTCTAAGCGTCTTGTTTCCAAGATACCTGCATGTATTCCTAATCTATGTCTAATGATCGTGTTTTCTAAGACAACATCAAAAAGAAATTGATAAAAAAAAGTGCGAGGAGATAGATGATGGGCTTGAAAAAAACTCGTTTGAAATTCCCTACAAAAAGATACTTTAATTACATAATATTCCATTCTACGTCTTCTAATGAGTAAAGCTTGACAAAGACCTAAGACCGAATTTTGAAAATAACCTCTATCTGTCACATAGAGTGCACATAAAGTAGACATGTAATCATGGGAACCGATCTGAAACACAAAAAAGATCCCTAATTAAAAAAATCTAAGTATAAAAAACACACGCACACATTCTAAAATCCCAATGTAAATCAGATTGTTGTCTTCGAATAAACTTTTCTCCAAAAATTACCTAACACGTTCACGAAACATACAATGCGAGTAACGAGGTATGACACGAGTTGAAACTACAGGGTAACGCATTTGAATCCTAAAAAATTGATGAAGTACTCTTCGAATAGGACGAAAAAACGATACTAAAAATTCAGCAAAAGGAAAGTGACGACTCAAAAACAAACGTCGTATAGGATCAGTAACAACTTCATCGATATAGAGATGAAACCAATAGTTAAATCTTGGATGTTTATAAATTTCAATACGAATAAGATCGTGTTCACTGTCTAGTCTTGTAAGAACATCTTTCATATCACCAATAAGTTGTAGTAAATAACTCTTCATATAGTCATTATCAATTATAAAATAGGTGGCTTCAAATAAAGCAGTAGGCATCTAGAGATGAACAGAAAAAAGACGACTTAGTGCCCGAGTATAATCAATGGAATTATCAAAAAAATACGAATGTCGAGAAACTGTACAATAGAAAATGAAAATAGTAAATGAAGTAAATGCGATAGTTCACGATGGCAATAACGACTGTAGTAACTGAAATAATTTCTAATACTAGAAATTGAATATCGCTACACTCAAAAAATGCGAATGGATTGCATCCAGAAACCGGCAGGTGAATAAAATCTTTACAACTAAAATTGAAAAAGTGGTTCGTTTTACTTCACGATTCCAAAACACTGCTTCGGACAAAATAAGAACTTTGAAACATACCTGTTCAATCCTTGCTTCGAGAGCTCCTGGTTGTAACAACGCTTCCAAATCGCGGATCGCTTGTTGCCTTTGCTGTTCACGGAGTTCCATATCTGTTTGACGAATTGGATGTTCCGGTTCTGGGTTTTGCTATTGCGGCCATAGCTTGCGCCTCATGGACAGTAAAAGGTTCTCTGCAAAGACCACACGTATCAGATGTATGAACGTGAGATTGATAACACCGGCGATGTATGCGTCTTTGGCAACAAGGTGTAGCTGTAGCATTGTGCATATTGACGTTGATTTGTGTTAAACAGATGAAACAATCATACGGTCTGCCATCTTCTTCCACATCTTGTCGTGCGAGTCTTCGTGATCGTCTTACAGGAGGCATCTAAAAAAAACGACATTGTTAGAAAAAAGTCGACTGAAAAAAGTAAAAAAAAAAAAAATCACTCGTAACGTACGTACCTTGGTCAAAAGTCCAGCAAGGATTTTTACGATCTAATTCCGAAAAATGACACACTTCTTTCTTAGATTCAAACGCTACGCAAAAGTGTAGTAACAAAACGATACCGCTACGTTTTGTTGGACCATTTCATTGATGACCTTGAGTATACCGAATGATCGAAATACACCATTCACAGATGGCGTCGTTTTAGAATTCACCAATCACCACGCGGGAAATCCAACCGATCAAATAACACCAAATTTCTTTGATGACCTTGAGTATACCGACGGATCGAAATACACCAATCACAGATGGCGTCGTTTTAGAATTCACCAATCACCATGCGAGAAAACAAACCGATCAAATGACACCAAATTTCTTTGATGACCTTGAGTATACCGACGGATCGAAAGGCACCATCACAGATAGCGTCGTTTTAGAATTCACCAATCACCATGCGGGAAAACAGACCAATCAAATGACACAAAATTTAGTATATAAGTCGCGCACTCTTATCTTAAAAGTTGCAGAAGTTAAGTGAGAAGAATCTGAAGACTGAAGATTAAAATCCTAAAGACTGAGTGAAGATGGCGCAACAAGGAAACAAAACGTTGGAGGTCAGTATGATAGTGTCAAAATAAGACTGTCGCGGCAGGCAAGCAGCATTTTAAATACGTTACAAATGTTTTACGTTTTTAGGACCCTACCGCCTATATATGTCCCGAGTGCCGAGACGACATGCTCGATTATGAGAAAATTCTAGAAGAGCTAACAAAACAGAAGATTCATAGAACTCAAGTTTTTTTCAAGCTCCTAAAGCTGGTTAAAAAAGAACAATTAAAAGCCGCGACGGAGTTGGTGAAGGTTTACATGAAAAACCCCGAGGATTTTTAACCGTGTCAAAGTACAAACTGTTGTAAATAAAATGCGAGTAAAACTTATATTTGTGTCATGTCTTGTTAGTTGATGATGGCAAAAAGAAAGAATGATGATGTGGAGGAAGAGGATAGTATCTCGGATGACCAATTAAATCAACATTATGATGAACTTGAAAAACAACAGTATGGTGGAGAAATATCTGACGATCAACTCAATGAATTGTATGATAAATTGGACCAACAACAATTGGATGCCCTCAATATAGACTTGGGTGTGGAACAATCAGGTGGTGCTCTCTTTAACTTTGAATTTCAAAATGCTGGATTCCCAAAAAATTGGAAAAAGACAGCGGATAAACAAAGATACGAGGCCACCCTCAAGCAGACACGAACTCCATCCCAAGACGATAATATCGGAAAAGAAATTACAAATGCGTTAGCGAGGTAAGAGTTTAAAAAGTGTGTTGAAAAAAAGTTTCAGGGGATAAACTCTTATCGAAATTTATTTTGGGTTATTTTTTTTAGATCGATACGGACACAAATTCAGCAAAAGAAATGTTCATCTCATGACGCGTTCCATTTCACATTACAATCGAATCAATTCGCCCACGCCCAACAATCAGCCACATTCAAAGTAGGAGAAATCATGAAGAATTCAGAACGCTTTGAAAATTACATGACTGCTATGGCTAATAAATTGAATTCAGGAGAATCGTTTAAATCCTCTTCTAAGTTTACCGCCGACCTTACCTTTATTCGAATGCCTAAAGGTGGTAAAAGTGGTAGACAAAAAGCTCTATTGGGAAAGCGATCCATGACAGAAGTTTTGAAAAAGAAACATTCCGTGATTCAAATTACAAATTCAGACGAATTGTGTTGTGCAAGAGCCATTTGTGTCGCAAAAGCATGGATCCATAAAGATGAGGGGAATCGACAGAAAATCGTTTACGAAAATGCAAAAAAATGTGACACTGTTCGATCACGAATGGCCCATCAACTCCATGAAGATGCGGGCGTACCTTTGGGGGCATGCGGGCACCAAGAATTGAAAAAATTTCAAGACTTCCTAGCACCAGACTATCAATTAAAAGTGATGGCAACTTCCTACCCCTACATGATGGTATTTGTAGGCCCAGAAGCACCGCATATTATCCGCCTCTTGCTCCAGAAACACGATGACTCTGAGACTGGTCACTATGACACTTGCACATCTTACGCTGGTTTTCTAGAACGATCCTATTTTTGCGATCAGTGCAACAAGGGATTTGATCATAATGACTTCAGACATCATCCATGTGAGGGTCGAAGATGTCATGCATGCAAACAAGTAGAATGTGGCGCAAAACCTGATTATGCCTTGCGTGAAGTACCCTGTTCTTCTTGTTGCCGAAAGTTTTACAGTCAGACGTGTTATGACATGCATAAAGAGAAAAAGATCTGCGACAGCCTTGTTCAATGCCCTATGTGTCGTAAGGAGTTTCAAACCTCAGCGTCAAAAGAACCTCACCAATGCTACTTTGACAAATGCTCCGTATGCCATGAATATGTAAAACTTACAGAACACAAATGCTTTATTCAACCTGTGGCAACCAAAGAAGATCAAAGAAAGAAAAAAACCAAAGCAACCCTGAAACGCCATAGAAAAAAAAATCCCTTGGCTTCGGTGTATGAAGAACCTCCCATCTTCGTCTATGCTGATTTTGAATCTATGATAGCGGAAGATAACACACACATCCCCGTATTGGTCTGCGCCCTCACCTCTGAAGATGATACCTTCGAAACCTACTACGGGGAGAATTGCACGGCCGACTTTCTGAACTTTCTCACCCAGCTCACAGAGGACGAATATGGCGACCCACGCGAGGTGATATGCATTTTCCATAATTTAAAGGGGTACGATTCTATGTTTCTACAGCATCAGTTGGTAAAGGAAGAAAGAAAGATCGAGGACATCATCGCCATAGGCACTAAATGGTTATCCTTCAAAGTGGGTCAAATCACATTCAAAGATTCGTTCAGCTTCCTCCCGATGTCACTCTCAGCCTTTACCAGTACCTTTGGTCTCACGGAACTCAAGAAAGGTTTCTTTCCTCACCTGTTCCACACACCTGACCATCAAGATTATGTGGGAGCCCTGCCAGCAGCCTCCTGTTACGACCCAGAAAGTATGTCCAATTCTAAAAAAAAAGAATTTCAAGTCTGGTACGAAGAACAAGTGAAAAAGCAAGACCCATTTGATCTCAAGCAAGAACTCATAGCCTACTGCCAATCAGATGTCGCCCTTCTTAAAGCCGGCTGTCTTAAATTTGTGAATGAATTCCAGTCCACGTCTGGGTTTGATCCGATGGAAAAATGTGCCACGATTGCGTCAGCATGCAACAGATATTGGCGTAAAAAACATCTTTCCAAGGACACTGTGGCCGTTGAACCTGTAAGAGGATGGCGTGGGGCACAAGTCAATCAATCAGAAGTTGCATTAGAATGGTTGATGTGGCAGGAACATCAGCTTGAATCAGACAGCCCACGTATCCAACATGTTCGTAATGGTGGGGAGAAGTTGATACCCGCAGGGCCCGAGGCATACCATGTCGATGGTTTTGATAGCCACACAAACACTGTGTATGAATTTCATGGCTGTTTGTTTCACGGGTGCAGACGTTGTCATAAAGACCGCAAGAAAATGGCGTTTTCATCAGGCAGCTACACGATGGAAGCCTTGTGTCAGCAGACGGAAGGCAAATGTCAGACACTCCGACAGATGGGGTATAAAGTGGTTCAAATCTGGGAATGTCAATGGAAGGAGCAGAAAAAAAAGCCTCAAAGGAAATTCAAGATTTTCTCAAGGAAATCAATCTTGTACCACAGCTTAATCCGAGAGATGCGTTCTTTGGAGGTCGAACTGGGGCGGCGTCGCTTTATTACAAGGCCAACACAGATGAAGGCGAGCAAATCAGATACGTCGACGTCACCTCAGAATATCCCTATGTAAACAAATACGGCACCTACCCCATAGGTCACCCCGAAATCTTTTTGGAACCAGACGACCAAGATCCAGCCTCCTACTTCGGTATATTGACAGTGAACATTTTACCGCCTTATAATTTATACAATCCCGTATTGCCTCTTCGACATGGAAAAAAACTGACGTTTCCATTATGTCGAAAATGTGTGGAAGATGAAAGTGCCAAACCGATGTTGGGAAGAAATTATTATTGTAGTCATGGTGTGGAGGATCGCATGCTCACCGGTACTTGGTGTACACCCGAAATCATGAAAGCTGTCGAAAAAGGGTATCAGGTTCTTCGCATACACGAAGCATGGCATTTCCCACCAGACCAAAGAAAGCAAGGTCTGTTTGCCCCGTACGTAGACACCTGGTTGAAGATAAAACAAGAAAGTAGTGGTTACCCCAGCTGGGCACAAACGGACGCGCAAAAAGAAGATTATGTTAAAAATTACAAGGCAAGAGAAGGGATAGACTTAGACCCCCAGCACATCAAGAAAAATCCAGGAAGAAAGGCCACTGCCAAACTGATGCTGAACTCCTTTTGGGGAAAGTTTGGCGAACAAATGAACAAGATGAAAACGAAGCAAATCACAGAACCACACGAGCTGATTGATCATTTAAATGACACAACGATTGAAATATCAGACGTACGCATTTTGAGTGCTGATGTGATTGAATTGGCGTATAAGAAGATAGAAGAGGATGCAGTAAAGGGGTCCAAGACCAACATATTCATAGCAGCATTTACCACCTGTCAGCATCCATGCGTTAACGTACGCGTCTAAAATGAAGTGTGACGATAGAAGCGCCGTCTGTAAACTGAGCCAAATTATTATTTTCCGACTCACTTATCTGTGTTTCCACCACATCGATGTGATTCTTACGTAACTTGATGTAATGAATCTGCTTGGGTTCGTAATAATAATTTCCTTCCAAGATTGGTTGGTAGTGTATTTGACGTATAAGATCAGTCGTCTGATCTCCCATGCGTACTGGAGCACAAAGCGAGGAATACATATACAAGGTTCGTGGGTAAGGTAAATTTAAGTAGGTACTTCTCTTAGTATTGATAAAGGTCCAGTTCAGATCGCTAAGAAGAAATCTATGATATTTCTCCGCAAATCGGTCTTTCCATGGGATCTCATATCTGTAATACGCCAAACTGGATGTAGTAAGCCTCCTATCATAACTCCACACCGTACCACGTTTGGTCACTGTGAGATTATGCGCCGGTCGTGATACATTACGATTCTCTTCAATAGGACCACTAACAATAGGACGATAACGCACTGTTGTTTTTTTTGTCCAACCAAACAACTCACACATGTCTCGAGGTAACTCAAAATAGAGACCGTCACGAACTTCTTGATGAGTTATATCAGTCGATTTTACCTTGTCTGCTGTCACAGTAATCGTTTCTTTATCCTCGTCCGCAATCACTTCAAATTGTGCGCTGTGTCCTGAAGAAAAATGACTCCCCAACGCCGAGCCCATATTCATAATACATTTTAAACGTTCTTCATCAAACAAGGATTTGAGTAAATCGTGAACTGTCTCGATACGATGTTGTTTGATGTCTCCATACGTGACATTGTAAGTCACTTTATGTTGTGTATCCCCAGTGGCTACTTTAATTCGTCCTGTGGTTAGCAAGACATCATCGTCTTTTAATCCTTTGAGGTAACTGGACACCTTAGAATCGTGTGGAAGCGAAATACTACTCAATCCCACTTCCCACTCTCCTTCTAAATCGATGCGTTTGTCTAATCGATTTTTCCAAGAATTGTTTTTGTTGTCTGGAAAATATTTCAGACTCCCATCGTTACTGGGTAACGTCAAGTAAAAAGTATTACCTGACATGATGTGCTCTCGATAACGACACAACTACGAATGAACCGGAGACACACTGTGTTGCATTTTCACAAGTTTTATTTCATCATTGTAGAGGCGTTACAATTTTGTTTTAAGTTTAGCTTGCATGATTCGCTTCACAATTTGCTCGGTTAAACTCTTCTTGCCTGGAAACTTATCGATTCCGGCTACCATCTTACGATCTGCAATATGTTTGTCAGCGAGTGATTTAGCTTTACTGTAATCAATATCGTGCTGTTTGGCTAATCTATCAAGACGATTAATTCCTGGATCACCACGTTTTAATCGCTTGGCTAATTTTGTACCTGGACCCATATACTGGTATCCGGGCCAATGAAACTCGACACCTAACTTTGAAATCCATTTCTGAATATCAAATTTTCCTCCTCTCTGTCGTTTCCTTTTAGCCTTAGCTTGGACGGTTCTTGCCCCCCCTTTGCCTTTCTTCGACTTTGGCGTTTCGTCATCTTCAAACACTTGATACGGGTCGTAACCTCTCTTTTCCCAAGGTTCCCAGTTACCAAATTCTTTGAGTCGTTCCAACTCCGTGCGATGTTTTTGCGGTGTGGGAACAGGAAGTTTTCGTTTCGTTTTTGTATCTTTTGGGATGGAGCTGTGAGAAAAGGAATCTTGGACGTTCCCGGTTTCGCAGGGGGTGACGGGTTCGTTCTTGATCCCCACAGGTGTGACAGGTTCCCTCTTGAGTGTCATCTGAGGTACGGCGGCTTGTCCCCTCATATTTATGGATTTAATGAGTTCTTTTAACAATCCCTCTTGCAACCCCTCCATGAGATTACCATCATCGTCTCGAGGTGGAGGTTCTACACCACCGGCGATAGGAATCTGTCTCAATTTGTCAGTAAGCTTGCGTTCTTGCATTAACAATTCTTTTACTACAGGTTCTTTTAAAGCAGCAGGAGTAGATGTATCTTCTAATAACAGTTTTGCTTCGGCGGCCACGCGTGCGGCTTTGTCCAGAAGAGTACTTTCAGTAATTTTTCCCTTGTAATAATCTACCAAAGCTCGAAACTCATCGGGCTTCACCATTAAGAACGTCTCCATAATCGCCACAAGGGTTCCACCACACGCATACGCAACCACCGAAACAGTTGAGTTATTGTGAGTCTACACTCGGTTGAATCCTTATAGTCACTGTCGTCGTCGTCGTAGTTGAATTGCAAATCAAACTTTATACCCGTGTCCACTTCGTTTATACCCTCTTGCACGGTGACAGTCATGATCTCTTGAAACACTGACAGAACGCGTCGTTCATACCACTCCAAAAGCTACCGCCTGTTTGATTCACAAGTAATTGACGCCGCTTTCTTAAAGAGTTCCTCCGTTTACCCAACTCTCTCAACATCACTCTATATTTCTTGAGTTTGGCAACGGTGGGCGGTGATAAAGGTATCTTTTTTTCAACATGTTCAACGTGAATTCACTGACGGCATTGATTTGATCTTTACTAGCGTGAAGTAATTTTTCCATACGACGCTTTCTATTTTTCTCTTGTAAAATAGATTTTAAAAAATCCACATTTCTCTTGAAACTATTAATCATCGCTTTTTCTTTGTAAGAGCTTCTAGGCCTTTTTTAGCCCCAAACGATGCAGCTCCTCCAAGGGCACCTAAACCCAATGCTTTACCTCCAGCAATGAGGGCTGGAATGAGTGCCGCTAATGGTAGGATACCTCCTTTTGTCCTCTTTTGGTTAGTCTTCTTTTCACTCTTCTTTTCACTCTTCTTCTCCTTCGGGTTGTGGGCATACTGCGCTTATAACCAGGCATCTTTCTTATTTATTTCTCTCTGTAACAGCGTACACACCCTTCGTGTCGTAACAAGTGACTTAAAAGTCTCGTAGAATCTCTACTTGCAGGGTGTACGTCAAATAACAAATAACCATAGGGTCTGTCCGTACATGCGTTATATATATCCATGACAGGTAGCCACTTGGTCGGGTATATCTGTAGCAGTAAGGTGCGCAACGCCACTTTATCTCTAGGATTTTTAAAGGCAATAATGTATTGCGCATTCCTAGAGATGGTCTTGGCATATTTTCCTTGAGGGAACATGTCTTGGCAGAGATAACACACGGTGACATTCATGTGGTGAGAATATTGTGTGAAAAGATTAAGTATTTCTCTGTCATCTCCTCCCTCCGACATGAGATCATCCAAGACAAGAATACCCCCTCGTTTATCTCCAAACCATGTTGTTAAATCGTCGTGGGTAGGCACTCCTTTAAAAAATTCTATGCCATGGCGTTGCATGTCGTCAAACTTATTTTGCCAGGATCCATAACAGTAATGCACGCGGGGCGGTCTTTCGTCAAAGAGGTCTAAATTTTCCAAAAGTAGGTGATGGAGAAAGGTGGTTTTTCCACAACTTGTAGGGCCCACAATCAAAATATTGGAAGGGGATTTGAACGAAAATCCTGGTTCCACACACTTGAACATGATTGCTAAAAGCGAGTTATACAAAAATGACACGATTTTATTTCATTCCTTTTATTTTATTAACGATTGAATGATGTCTTCTAACATGTCGCCTACTTTATCATCGTTGCCTACATAATCCTTTTTAGAAAACATGGAAAAAAACTCATCCATACTCTTGCGTCTTGCTTTACACATTAAATAAATGATGGCATAGTTTCCACAACTTGCGGTTTTTACAGATTGTAATGCTCGAGTATTTTTACGCACGTAAGACCATCGGTTTAACCATACAATGAATGGTGTCAGAAATTCATAGGTGGTTAAATCTAAACCATAACTATCTAAAATTTCACAGCTATCGTGTTCGGTCCACACAGCTATCCAGTGTTCCCCAGGTTTGTCTGCAGGGTGAGTATTGACAATGTAAGCTCTCGGTTTCACACGTTCAGGCGACTCGGGTAGTTCGTCACAGGCTAAAGCACTCACAAAGTACTTGCGGAGTTCTGGATCGCTATCCGCTAAAGCGTTGAGTTGATTCGTAGTAAGCCACACAAACTCCATCACTAATGCACTTCCATCGTGGTAGCTCCTTTAATGCCATCAATTTCCATAATGCCTTCATATTCAGCATAAACGATCACCGTTTTCTGACTTGCTTGCCCTGCACATTTAA